CCGTTCAAATAAACCTACCATTAAAATTATAGACTGATCATTTCTTTATCAGTGGGCAAACGTACCAAAGCAGCAGGGGATCAAATACTTTTTTCCCTCACTGTAAATAGCTTACGTGGAGGTGTATATCTCATTGCCCTTTGTTGTTGCAAAAACTGTTATCACACACCGAATTTATTTTTATACGGTTAGATTTTTGACTTTGTGTGTGTGTTTTTACGCGTTTTTCCGGTAGTTCAACAGAGGCGAGGACCATTTGCCGAGCCATTTGCAAGAGACCCCCCCACCCTCTCCGGCGTGAGATTTTTTCTTTTAAATCAAATTTACAGCCTTTTTTGTTTGTTTGTTACACCCATAAAATATGACTGGTGGTGGTGGCGGGGGGGGGAAGCACATCATTCTTTTGCGGGGGTGGACACTATAGAATGTGCACCAAACGCCCCGCTCGCAGTAAATTTCATTAGTGTCGTGATTTACGCTCGGAGGTGGGGAGGGGGGTAATAAGGAGGAATGACCGTCCAGAGCCGTAAATTCGAGCGAGGGGGAGGTGCGGGGGGGGGGAATAAAAGTCGCAGTCCCTCGCCAGGTGTTGCGATATTCTCACGCGGGATCGACGACTCGGTGGCTTTGTTGTCTCCGGCTCGTCGCTACGTCGGTTACGAAGAGCCCCACCAACTCGGGCACATTTTGTACGCGATCGAGATCGTTTGCGAAATCTGTGTTGCCTTGAAATGAGAAGTAGACGCGACCATTAATGAGAGAAGGGCAATTAATAGTTGTTTAATTTGTTTCCACGGTTTAGGTGGGAGACACAATGCATATTTGAAATCAATTTGTCGGCTATAATTAAAACGGTAAATTGTTTTCGGAGCCCACACTGGTTTACTGATGCGTACTGCAGGAACAAATTAAATTAAACATCTCTTAACAACGTTTGCTGAACCTTTTTTGTTCAATGGACAAAAAACTTTGAATAGAAAAATATTTTTCAATTCATATTCTGTCTGCATCGCCCTAGCGTGTATTGAGCGTTGAAAAATCGGCAGCAATGTCCTTTTATATGATTTAAAGCTTTCGTGACTGCAGGAATTACTCTTTGGTTCTTTCGGTAAAGTCACATAGAAAGAAAATAAATTAAACAAAAGAATACCACGTTTCGATTGCAACACAAGCAATCGTCATCAGGTAGAACTAAATTGGGTCTCTGTGTGTCTACGTTGTGTGTCTCTCTCTCTCTCTCTGTGTATCTCTGTGTTGTCTCTCTCTGCTTGTGCGTCTGTCCGTGTGTCTCCGTGTCTGTGTTTTGTCTCTCTCTCAAATTTACTTTTCTCTACTTTGCACTGCGATCGTGTTTTTGTATTGTTTCTTGTTGCAACTGTGTGACCCCGTGTCCTTACTGGACATGAATGGAAAAAAAGAGCTTCATAGCTCATCGGATTGCTCCAGGAAATGATGGAGATGGCAGGGGGGCGTGCAAGGAATGAGGAATGGGTGGCCATGATAAGAGGGTGCTGAGTAGGCCCCAAGAGAGGGGAGAGGAAGAGACAGGTAAAGCCACGGAGATAGAAAAAAATAAAATAAAAATCACTACGTTTCGATCACAACACAAGCAATCGACTAATATTATCCATCATAGAGGTATTTAGGGTTAGATCTCATTGTTATATTTACGTGACAAACATTACTAATTGGCTGTGTAAGGTGGTGGCGGGTTTAACGACACATTTATATTTACGCGATATCATCCAAAACAAACCTATATTATGGGATTTGTTTTTATTTTACATGATTATGGTCATTAAAATATGCATTGTTAAGTTTGGGGGGTTGGGATGGGGGGCCACTAGTGTTTCCCGCTTTGTGAAGCTGTCCAATCACCTCGACAGGTTAGTGAGGGTTATGGATAACCAGGGTTAGTTCGGGTCAGGGCTAGTTTGGGTTCGGGTTAATAATAGTTAGGGTTCAGGTTAGTTAGGCCTCGAGCTCGGGATAGGTTTAGTTATGATTATGGTGTGGGTTAGTGTTTGGGTTCGTTTAGATTAGGGTTATTTAGGACTCAGGTTGGGGTCACGTGTGTTTTAATGTGTTTCATTTGCCGGCCTTTTCTCTCGTTACGATCACAGGACGGAGAGAGGCACGACGGGCCGTTTAAAGAGAGCTATTCAGCGCCTGTGTGCACACACACACACGCTTGTGTATCGTGTGCGATTGGGTGTGTACGTGTGCACTGGTGTAGGTGCATGAGCGGCTAAAACGCAACAAGTTGGCACAGCATAGGGGGGGTACAGCTGGTGGTGCATCTAGCGGTCATCTCAGTCAGCCAACCCATGGCACCTGCTGGGTCTCTCCCGAAACCCCCTTCTGTCAGCGAACATTCGACACTTCACGTGGCCTCAAAGTGCACCTGGCCTGGCACAGGCGCCGTGGTGACATCATCGTCACTCAGTGGAGAATAGCGGTTATTGGGTGCATGAGCATGTGTTTGTGTGGATGTGTGTCAAGTAAGTGGGGCGCGAAAGAGTTGGTGTCGTGGTTTCGCGCACAGCTCAATGAACCTGGTGACCCCGAGTTCGTTTTTCCCGGCCATGGCTGACATCAGTGGTGAGTGATTATCTGTACCGGTTCGAGGTCTTCCCCACGTTAACTCGGCTTCAAATGAGCACTTGGTGCAGTGTGCAAATCATCAGCACTCGGAAGACACGTATGTCCAAGTGTGTGGGATCACCATACAACTTGCCCCAAAAGTCTCATCAAGGCTACACGGTGCACCGATGCATTTTGAGAAGTGGTGGTGCAGTGTTGTTTCAGCGTCAGCCCAACAGACCTGCATTTAATTTCCAGCAACTTACTCTTTGGTTCTATTGGGTAAAGTCACGTAGGTGAAAATAAAATAACAAAAAATCACGACGTTTCGGCCACAACACAAGCGGCCTTCATCAGGTGAAGGGACGAGACTGTCTGGAGGACAGCGCTGGAGTGGAAGAAGCCACGCTTAGATCACGACCTTTAAGCTGTGTGAGAAGAAAAAGACCACGCGCCTTGACAAAGGAATTAGCATATAATTTAGCATTGAAATGGCTCATTGAAATAGCTAAGTTAAAGTATACACATCCGCAGAGGTACCCCTTGACAAAGGAATTAGCGCTGGAGTGGAAGAAGCCACGCTTAGATCACTTGTCATATAATCCTAGACACCCCCCCCCCGCCTCCTAGATCAACTTCAACTTTAAGTGACTTTGGGTGTGTGAACGTCAACATTTAAGAAAAAAGGCATCCAGACAAGGTATGATCCGCACCACCCTTTCATACAGCGTGAGCTGATCTGGGCAGTAAAGGCTCCTGGAATTTCTGGAAGGCTGAATCAGGACCCATGGGGTGAGATCGCAGCTCCCTCCTCTGTCAGTCCCAACAACAATAACAACAGCAGCCATTCGCCACACAGTGGCGGTGACGTCACCACGGCGCTTGTGCCAGGCCATGTGCACGTTAACGGCACGTGAAGTGTCGAACGCCCACTGGCAGGAGGTCACGGGACAGACCCAGCAGATGGCTTGGTGTCGATTGACTGAGATGACTGGCCGATGCACCCACCTGTGCCCCCTACCCTACTGTGCCCTGCCCACTTTTACACAGCCACGCCCACTCAACCACTACCCCCCCCCCGCCGATGCAGGGAGCGGATTGGCTCTTGATTGACGTTGACCCCGCCCATATTAAATGTCTCTAAAATGTAATATACATCATGAATAATGCGTCGTTCATTTCCAATTTCATAAAACATCTCAGAAATCGCATGACATGCAACATATACATGGCGAATTCTGCTGTGTGTCCCCACGTATAAACAGAGATTTACTGAAATTTTGATCTAAAGCTTTCGTGACTGCAGTGATTCATATTCTTGGTTCTTTCGGTAAAGTCACGTTGAAGGGAAGCAATAAAATAATAAAATATATAAAACAATATCTATTTTATTATTTTATTGTTTCCCTTCAACGTGACCTTACCCAAAGAACCAAGAATAAGAGATTTACTTATTCAGTTGGCCTTATAGCTTTCTAGATCATTATCCAAAATCATTTGTTTAAGCAATCAAACTCTGAACCGGTTCAGACCTGGTTCTCAACAGCACAGTCAGGGCTTGTTAAACTAAGTCTGTTGATTTTTTCAGATGTTATTGGCAAGAGCACACCATCCAATCTACAGAACCAAATTCAACGCAAAACAGCAATAATGTACACACTCGCAATGCCTCGCCATGGGGACATTGTGGATACATCACAAAGCTCCGTTATGTGCCTTCACGTATGAATGAAATATATATCTTAGTCCATCTGCTTATTGGCTTTGCAGACCAATATTATTAATCAGAATACTTTATGAAACAAGCGTGTGAGTGAGTGAGTGCAAGCTCTTCTTGGTCTCACTGACGGGACATCTGTGACTAAGAGCTTCATAGCTTATCGGATTTCCCCAGGATAAATAAGGATTCTGATTGCAATTCATGAGCGGGGGACAGGCCCTGTCAAACAAACGCTGCTGGCTTGCCAGACGTTATTGACAAGAGAATACGCATAACTCCGTAAAAAATACACTCCGAGAAAAACCCAAAACAGAAGCTCCCTAGGTTTGATCTTCCACGAAGCTCATGGTCCACCCTAAACCACATCGTCTGCACAAACCATGTCGGATGCGGATACATGATGCGCTAATGAAAAATGAACAACTCTACATTAGTAGCGTGCGACTGTGGTCATCCGGAACAGACCGTTAAACGCATAATGATGCAGCAATAACCCCGATCCACAAATACAAAGGAGAAGACATCACAGCGATGCACAGCACTCCGGCTTGTCCACCTGCATGTGAAATTGTAGGTTATTGCCTCTGCACCTGCGTCAGCAGCCGTACGAAAGGAAGAAGAAGAAGACGAAAAGGATTGGCGAGAGCACTCCTATCCCGACGCAGCGCCGCGCGTCGCTGGCTACCCACGAGCTCACCGGTGTCGCGGGCGAAGCGGGAGAAGTACTCGATGCCGCTCTCGCCGTAGTTGTCGTTGGCGGCCACGGTGCTCACGTAGTTCCAGCCCAGGGCGCTCACGATCTCCACCATGGCCTGTGCCTGGTACGAGTCCGGGGGCACCACCCGCGAGAAGTAGTCGTACCTCGTGTTGTCGCTCAGCTCGGGCGCTGTCGAAGCATAGCTGATCTGCGGTATCTGTACGACGCGTCCGGGGGGGGGGGGGGGGTGGGAGAGCGGGGGCAGGGAGTGGGGGGGGTGAGCGGGGGGGTGAACGAGCGTGACAGGCCGGCGTGACAATACAATAACGCGGATTGGATTTATGTAAGGTCCAAATGCTTTTTGTGACCTCATCGATCCTCTTGACCTCATCGACCAATGTGGGCACATTTGACCGTTTGGACACTGTTTGCCGAGATAACTCGCGTCATCATGGGCAATGCATTGGAAGTGAGGGCAAAGGGTTGGAAATCAGATCGTACATTGTCTGATGCCACAATTGATACATTTTTTTATGAAGAAGAGAGTTTTACAAATAGGTGGAGGTGCGAAGCAAAAGGCTGAATACGCAGAACTCCGTAAAAATGATTACAATGAAGGGCTCCAGGACTGACAAAAGTCAGACCAGGACTGAAATTGGTCTGGTATTAAACTTAATTATTCCCATGCACTGCCCAGAGCCAGCTTTGCAGTTTATCAAGCACTCGTACACAATTTTAATGACCTTGAAATATATTGTACACTATAATTTATTTAATGTTGTAAGGGTACCTTTGTTGGGCTCTCCCAGCCGCAGGCACTTTACACTTAACTCCGATAATCTTTCGAATCTTAAGTCACCCAGGTCCCTCTGCTGATGTCCCGCACATCCCAAACGACAGTTGGCATTTGAAAAATAGCTTGTGGCGCCACCTCCCCCATGCCAACCCAGCCAGAAGTGTGTAACCCGCTTTGGTGGGTCTGCCATGCAAGAGCAATGACCTTTTTTGCGTGTGTGTGTATATATATTAAAAAAAACATAGAATTAATGAAATATTATTTAACTATCGGGGACTGAACAACAGACCGCACAGGCATGAATGTAACGGACATTAAATTGACGGAGGAGACAAGCAGCATAACCTGCTTTGTGAGGAGAGTCGGGGTGCCAAGGTGCATTGCGATCAATCGCAGTGCGGGAAACAGGTATGGGCCAATCCCTCACAACAGTAGAGCATCACTCGGAAGCCGGAGCCCCTCCGTTCTATCCTCCTCAGTGCACGTTGCAGAGCTGTTACGCTGATTTGATGTGATTTGCGATAGCGAGTCGGATGCAGCGGTGATCCGACCCCGGAGACAAAGCGCGTCTTAACGGAGCTCCTGTCTTGAGGCGCGTGTAAATACACAAAGCATTAAAATAAAACGCCGAAGCCGTGTTTACAAAAGCCGCTTCTTGGCCGTGCCCTAATAACAACAACCGAAGACGTTTGGCCAGATTAATGTTTACGCTTGGATGTGCAGAGTCGAAATGCCAGCTGTCGTGAGTGATTTGCATCGTCGTCACATGCCACGTGATTGTGCACGACTGCGTCTCCATGCCGCCCGAATGAGCTTGTGTTTTAATTATTCCCGGGTTCAGATTGCTACACGCTAATTACGAAGCGAGAACGCTCTGGTAGTTATTTGAATGTGATTAACAACGCGACGCCTGATATGAATATGATGCGCCCGTGTTACCTTTACAATGACGGAGCAGAGACGGGGGTGGGGGGGGGTGAACCATTGCCCCCTCCCCCCCCCCACCCTCTTTCCCAACCTCACAGGATTCAGGGTCACGATTTGATCGAGTCGTTATTTGTTTTTAGACACCGCTGTGTGGACAGCGGCCGCTAACGGCTGGGGTCGTCCGCCGTGAACCCCCCAAATAACGCACTCCGCGTTTGATTCCGACGGCGTCGATGCTCACGCACGCACGCGATTTTGGTGCAAAGTATCGCGAGATTAAGAATCTATGTGAATTCATAAATCCACGTATCTTGACACCCATATTACGCTCGTACGCTGCTCGCATTGTGAATCACGGGCAGCGGGCGGCCTCTGAACGTCAGCAACGCCAGTCGCTGCAGGAGATCTCCGGGGATTCTCAGGCGCTGCATTGTCTAACGGAATCTGCAGGGTTTTATAAATGTTTTTACCCATCTTTAACTAGTTGTGCGTATTTTTCGATTTAAAGCTTTCGTGACTGCGGCGGATTCATCTTCTTGGTTCTTTCGGTAAAGTCACCACGTAGAATGGAAATAAAATAACAAAAATAAAACATAATAAAATAAAAATTTTCACGACGTTTCGGCCACAACACAAGTTGCCTTTTTCAGGTGAATGAACAGGACTGTCCAGAAGACAGCGCTTGAGTGAACATTGCTAAGCATGGGTCGCGTCTTTTAAGCTGTGTGGGCGGAATTAACATATGAATGAGCATGTCACCCAGCACCGCCACCGGATCGGAGGAGGGTGGCGGCTGGGCAGACAGAAAAGGAAGGTCAAAGAGCAGCCAAGGTGCGCTGCTCTGTCCTGTGTTGCGTTGTTACTCTGCTATAAACTGGACTACTATACAGTATAATATTATGCCTTCCAATCTAAACTACATGGTATAATATCATATCCATAGACAAAATTCCACCTTTGAATTATACAATGCGTTACTATACACTACCCTATACTTTAGACCATAAAGTATTAGACTTGTAACATTACACTGTCTTATTCTATCAACCCTACTATATACCACACTGCTGTATATTCAATATACAATTACGATACTATATAGTCTTATGAATTATGTTAAACATTACAATGTTATACTATTATACCACATGCTATAAACCATACCATTGACCGACGTGTGAAAGGTATTAAGAGGCAGTGCCAGCGAATGGACTGCGGTCTGAAGGTCACCGTAAAATACAATCAATTAAGAACCGAAATGGTTTATAACATCTTTCCAATGGTTACTAAGCCATAATCCATCTTCTCGGTTGAAATTGTCTCTGTGTTTGTATATGTGGATGGCCTCATGAACGAATCTCTCATGGTAGCCGGATGGCTTGCAGAGAACCTCCGTCTTGGAGAAGTCAATGTCATATGAGCCCACTGAATTATAACAGTGATCTGCCACGGCTGAGGAGTTAGTCCTACCGTGTTTCAAGTCTGCTTTATGTTCACGGATGCGGTCCGAGATATGTCGTTTGGTTTCTCCAATGTAGCTGCTACTACAGAGGCAACTTAGTTTGTAAACGTCCGGGTACTGTATGTCTGGAACCACATATTTTACAGACGGAACCAGATCACGGATTTTATGTACTGTGTTGAATCGGACCTGGATCTTGTGTTTATTCAGGGTTTTACCTTGGCCTACATTGCGGGGATCACAAAAAAGATCTCCAAAATCCTGAATAATCACTGTATAATAGTCCAGTTTATAACAGAGTTACAACGCAACACAGGACAGAGCAGCGCACCTTGGCTGCTCTTTGACCTTCCTTTTCTGTCTGCCCAGCCGCCACCCTCCTCCGATCCGGTGGTGGTGCTGGGTGACATGCTCATTCATATGTTAATTCCCCCCACACAGCTTAAAAGACGCGACCCATGCTTAGCAATGTTCACTCAAGCGCTGTCTTCTGGACAGTCCTGTTCATTCACCTGAAGAAGGCTACTTGTGTTGTGGCCGAAACGTCGTGAGAATTTTATTTTATCATGTTTTATTTTTATTATTTTATTTCCATTCTACGTGGTGACTTTACCGAAAGAACCAAGAAGATAGTTGTACGTACGTAGAACTTCTTTTGCGCCGTACGTAGCCAACCGTGCAAAATCGATGAGGCTGAGTTGGCAGGACACTGGCAGCTGAATGGCTCATTACTGGCTCGCGAGAGGTTGCTGCTCATATATTGTATAACCTCAAGGCCCCCTAGTTCGGACGCTGCGCGCTAATGGTGCACTAATGCTTGGCATTGAGGGCTTGACTGAGTAACAGCGTTGAGAGCTGCGAGCCATCGACATAATCAGAAGACAGAAATTGGATGGATATGCGCTGTGAGAGTGAAGATGGCAGAGACGCGCGCAGGCAGCGGAGAGATATGACACAGAGGCAGAGATGTATTCAGAACACGTGCAAAGGCAAATTCCCTGATACTGCATTGGCAATGGTGCACAAGTATAAACAATAACAAAAATCAACACATTCATAAATAGCTCTGGCCCAAAGGGATAATGAAAAAAACATTTGGTAGATGATATTTCTGGCAATGGATCTTCTTCATAGCACACATATAAGATGTATAATTGAATATTCAGAACATAGATTTAAGAGATGCATCCAAAAGAGATGTAATAGAGATGTAACGCAGGGGTGTATTTGGAACAGGAAATGCATGAAAGAGGCAAAACAATGTAAATTAGCATCCACCTACCTCCCAGATGTAACGTGACTACAAAACCTACATGCTGAACAAGACAGCGAATATAATGATTTCACACCCATGCGGCTGTGATATAATTGACTTTAATAACTAGGTCAAATCCGCTGAAGCAGAGGAAACTTCCCATGTGGGCGCTGAATACCCCCAAAAAGACTAAATATCCAAAGTATTTTCTCTGGGAAATCTAAATTAAATCCCAAAGTGCGTGGTCTAAAGGGTGAGTGGGTGGGTAGTCGCCTCCCGTTACTCGGATCCGCCACTGCACTGAGAGCCGTTTTTGTTTGTGGAGCCACGGTGGCGAGATGTTCACTCCATCACCTGGTATGCGGGAGATCGTGGGTTCGATTCCGACCCTAACGCCTGCTGTATATTTCGAGTTTGCGTGTTCTTCCCGTGGTGGCGTGGATTTTTCTCCGGGTCCTCTGTTTATTTGCTCCACATTTAGAAGAGTATTTGGCTGCTATAAATTTCCACGTGGTAAGCCACTTCGTTGAGCTATCATTTGTGGCCAGGTCGCTTCTGAAAAAGAGTTGTATAGCTCAGTGGGCCTTACATGGTAAAATAAAAATCAAATTGTGTACACTGCATATAGTCAGTTCAACACGTAGGCTTTCGTGCCCAATATCCATAAAGTTTTTTTTGGTTAGATCGCATAAATATAGCAAGACTCACAGTGATGACATCACTTTATTCCTCTAATTAAGACCAAAACAGGAAGACTTTTTCACATTTCTGGCTACCGCCTGATGAAGCTGATGAAGCTCGTTGTTGTAATCGCCAGCAAAACTTCGTACTCGAATTGTAAATGTAGTTATTTGCTCTCCAACGCACCGGTATGCTGGAGCAGTAACTAATTGCAACGTTTTGTTTACGTGACAAACCTTACTAATTGGCTGTGTCGGGTAGTGGTGGCGGGTTATTGACGACATATGTATATTTCCATGATGTAACCAAAAAACACCCCCTCCTTTATTTTGTAGTGTGTATATTTTTTTTTAATCGTAAGCTTGAGCGATGCTGCGGCGGGCCGGGTCACGCGAGCTAGCGTTACCGGATTCGGCCCCGCGTGTCGGAGGGAATTTACACCCAGCACGCACGCTCGCGGATAAAGCGACGAGAGAGAGGGGGACACAGGGTGGACACAGGGTGGACACAGGGTGGACACGGGGTGGGGAAGGCCTGTGACGTCTGCTCCCTGACACGTTTACCGTAGTGCTGTGCTGTGCTCGCTTCTTCTTCCTATCGCTGTTGTTGATGTAGAGCAACAGCAATTCATTTACTTGGAGTGGAAAACTGCAGCCTTCACGTGGCCCACTCTGTTCAGTGAGAAATCACGACTAATGCAATCAACCCGGCGACCGAACATCGATTAACGATCTCCCGTTTTCCGGTGCAACAACCATCCTCGACACGTTCGAACAACCTGGGATAAAAAAAAACAACATACAGATTCAATGATGACATTCTCATGGTCATCCTGGACGCAATCAGCCTCACCTGGCAAGGGTGGTCATCTTATGCGCACAGCCTTTTGTCAATCCACTGCTGGATGGGGGAGGCCCTCATCCAGCAGCCCTCCCCTCGAAATGGTCCTGCACTTTGGCACTTCAGAGGTGACAACAAAATCCCATGTTTACTGTGCTCTAGAATCTCCACTACCTGGGCGGGGGTGGCCAGCGGTGGCCAGCGGTGGCCAGACCCGACCAGACCCGGCCACAACGCCACCACAGCCACTACAGCCACCACAACCACCACTGAAGGTAAAGGCAAATATCCCCCGTATAGCCTTAACACACTGTTGGTGCAAGTGCTCTTAACGAGCACTTATGAAGACTGGCACGGCACACGAGGTGGTGAGTGGCCAGCACCACGCCAGGCCGCCTTTGTCTCCCCAGTGGTGATGTTGTCGCACCGCACCAGGTATTCATTTGAGGCCGAGTCGACCAAGGGGAGGCCAAGGACCCGTTCAGATAATAGTCACTGGTGTTGGCCGTGAGCGGGAATCGAACTCGGCTCGCCACACCACCACCACCACAACCACCATTACCACGACCACATCCACCACTACCACCACAGCCACCACCCACAACCAACCACCACAACCACCACCACCACAACCACCACAACTACCACCGACCTTGAAGAGGCGCAGGATGTTGGCGACCATGATGGACACGGAGCTGCCAGCGGCGCCGATGACGCCCACCACCTTCTCGGGCTTGGCGAAGATCGGCTGCGCATTGTTGGTGCACCGCACGTCCGCCGTGTCCTTCTCGATGAGCGCCTGCACGAAGGTGAGCGACTGCTCGAGCGCGTAGGTGTCGCGCGAGCACGTGTCCAGCACGCGCGCGCCAAGCGTCACGTTGGGCAGGATGCGCGGGTCGGCGTTGATGGTGTCGAGGGCGTAGAGCATCGCCTCCAGCCGGTGGATGCCCTTCTCCATCTTCAGGGCGCCGCACATGGCACCGCGGTCGCCCCGCGCGTGCACGGGGAAGAGCGCGCCCAGCGTGATGTCCCCGTCGAGGCGGATCGAGTGCGCCAGGACTCGCTGCTCCTGGGACGTCCCGCCGGGTCCGAGGGCCGTCGCCGTCAGGATCGCAGTCGACAGCAGCAGCAGCAGCAGCGCCGCCGCCGCCGCCGTCGTTACGGGAGAGGCGGCGGCCGTCGCGTTTGTCAGCGTTCCCGCGGGGGTCCGTGCGCCCGGAAGGGGCTTTAGTCGCAGGGTGGCAGAGGTCGAGGGTCTCACGATGACCCATCTCCGCCTGCCACTGGGGGGTGGCATGGCCCCACCGCTCCCTCCGACACTGCCCCTCGATCGCCCGCCCTCTCACTCAGCGCGACTCGTGCTGTCTCTTTGCAAATGGCTTCGAGAATCACTTCTTCCCTCGCCACTCTAAAGCTATCTCGGGCTGGCCGTGTGTATAAATCACGCCGCTTCCCTGCGTCCCTGCACCTTCAAGTCTTTGGCTCCTCGTATATATTTTTAGTTTGTAGCTTTTATTTTGTTTTGTTTTCGCTCTTAATGTGCCTACGTCTCCATGTCTCAAGGTGGGGGGGGGGGGGGGGTTAAGGCACGTGAGCCCTGGGGGTCAGCCACGTTTTATATTCTCACTTCGTCCGCAAACGGCTATCATTTCAGCACCGAAAAAAAGAGAAAAGACGGATTGCAGGAGAAGGAAGGCAGTGGCATTCGTGCCCTTAAAATGGGAGCATGCTGTGCGGCAACTTTTAATACTGGCCACGGTGTGCTAACATTGTTTCAAACATTCAATGCGTGCTCGTTAACTTTTTTTTAACAAACGTTTTAAATTATTCCAACCCTTAAGAAGTGGTACCGATATTCTCTTGGGAACCGAATTTGATTACCTATACAGTGTAAATATATACGTATATTATTTTAAACACTCAACAAATTCTTCCAAATTGGGAAAGCACCCAGCGTGAGATCGCTGGGCGAATGCGCGTTGATACCAGATGCATAATTAAGCCATTCGCCAGCTAGGCTAAAAAGCGCTGCCAGATAGAGAGAGACGCAGAGAGAGGGAGGGAGGGAACGTTCAGAACTCTTCGGGTCGATGTCTTCCGTCTGTACGTCCGCGGGCTCCTGGACAGCGGAGATGGAGTGGCGCCTATCTCCCGGCTCGCTTACAGCCGGAGCCGCCAGAAACGGATGGCAAACGGCCTCTCTCTCTTAGACACAGCGACGGCGCCCCGTTGTAACGATCGCTTCGTCGCGGCTCACCGGGGCTCCTGTTCCCAGCCTCTTGTCTGCGCCTGGCACGATGATGACGACCACAACAACAGCAAGACACGAGGCCCTGTGATTAATCGCGTGAAGGACCCACGAATGCCGGGGTGCGGATGGGGACAGGATTGTTCCTTTGTGTGGGTGGTTGAGATTTTGTTTTTATTTGTAATGAATGCGTTGCGGCATACCCAGGTCCACACTCGCTTTGGTAAAGCCCAAATGGCCTCGAATGTGCCCAATCTGGATGCATCTTTGAAGCCACCCAGGTGGAGAGTTGTTATTACTGGGAGAATATAGGCGTGCGCTACGAGTTGGTTAAGCAACAGGCTTACAAATTATTTCTAAATCGATCGGTTCCAGCGCTGCGTTACCTTCCGGGTTCGGGTGGGGGTTTGTCCGGTCTGCCCGACTTTCCTTGCACGTGAAGCCAAACTCTCATTTGTGGAGCGGGTCAAACATTTCAATGCGGAGCCATTCCGAAAACGTCTCGAGACTCTGCGAGGCTCTTCCCTAGGCAAATTGTGACCGCCAGTGCGCACGTGCGCGAAATCGGAACGAAACCGCCAGCTGGGGATGTGTAAGTTCGTCAGGAAAGTCGCAGAGCCATCCCCACCCCTCCACCCCCCCATTCATGCTATTTAAACAGCAAGGTCGATAATACCGCGCTCATACGCATGACATCAGTCAGAGTTGAACGGAAACGGAACGTCAATATAAATCTTGTAAAATGTTACGACATGCTCAGCTTGCGGGGGTTTTCGACATTAATATCCCTGCAAGCGTGGCACATTATGGTTATGTTAATGGTGGCATTTCCCCCCAGTGTATTTCCATGCCGCTCGACGGATGCTTAATGTCAGAAGTTTCACGTGCCCCGTTGTTCCTCGTCATTTTTTGCCACTCCACGCGTGTCAAGTCGACCCAGGGGCTCGAAGCGTGCCAGCGAAATGTAAATAGCAATGCAAATGTGTCAAGGAATTGCGCTTACGGCCCCTTGACAGTCCACACTCGGGATGAAAGGGCTCACAGCGCACGCATGTCACCACGCTGAAAGCGGGCCCAGTCGGCCGACACCGGCTCAGATAGCACTCGCCACTGATGTCAGCCGTGTACGGGACTCAATTCCGGTTGCCAGGGTCGTTGGCGGAGCACGCTCACCACCGTACACCTCCACTCCACGCTGCAAATTAGTAAGACGAATATATTATCCCAAGACGGTCCGTATATATATTGTTAGATTGGTACCCAGCTACAAGTTTACGCTAAATTATTGCAGCGTGAGGGTCATTATTCATACGCTCTTTTTTTCATAACCTATAAATCTTCAGCCCCTGGAATAAAAAAAAATATATAAAAAATGTGTTGCTGCAGTCAACATGAATGTATTTATGAGTAGCCCGGGTGGGTTTATTTATTTAGTTATCTGCGTTTGCTGCAGGCCGAAGCAGAGGGCTAAGGATAGGGGGTGGGGTCGGGGGGCTGGGTGGAAGGTGGCTCGCAGGTTGAGCTCCGAGGCCCACTACCGCGTGCCGATCGCCGCGCGCGTGTGTGTCGCGCGCGTGCGTGTGTGTCGCGCGCGTGCGTGTGTGTCGCGCGCGTGCGTGTGTGTCGCGCGCGCCTCTGTCGTTGGCGCACCATCGGCCCCCTTCTCGCGGGAATTAATTTATCGCCTCCGCTAGACGCACGCGCAGTGTAACTTGCACGGGCCTTGGAGATGCATTCACATTAAACGGTGACCCATCCCCTCCTCTTTTCGCCTCCCTGCACAGTTTCGTGAGCTGCAGGCTATCTCTGCAGCTTTGCATCTTGCGCGAATATCCTCCTGGCGATGGGTTAAAGGCTGCGGGATGGACAACGGCGCATGACTGTGGGTTGTACACCAAACATTTGGTTCTGTGTTTTGATCTTTGGTTTATCGTTATTTCAGCATTTATATACATATATGCTGCTCAATGTAATATCAAAACTGTGATAACCCATCTGTCTCTTAATTATAATATTTCACTATGCAATAATAATAATAATGGGGAGGGATGGGCGATTAATGTTTTGGTATAGGGAATAAAGTTATAGGGTTTGGCTTGGAGTTAAAATATTTAAACTTAAACCCTAAACATGTTTGTTAAATCTTACCAGGTAAGGCCCACTGAGTTATATATCTCCTTTTCAGAAGCAACCTGGACATAAACGATAGCCCAACGAAGTGCCTTACCATGTGGCTATTTATAGCAGGCAACTATCCTAAACGTATGTTGATTTTAAATGTGGAGGGAAAAACCCGGAGAAAAATCCACGCGACCACGAGGAGAGAGAGCACGCAAACTCCAAATATACAGCAGGCGTCAGGGTCGGGATCGAACCCACGACCTCCTGCATACCAGGAGAGGGAGTCAACATCTCACCACCGTGGCACCACAACATCTGGAGATCTTGGGAAAGGCTCATTATCCCACCCAGAATCGCGGAGCAGATGGCCTCTTCTCTATCGCCCACTGCTCTGCTGTGTGAGGCTGGTAACAAGCTCCCAATGGCAGCTCGTGGTTCCAGGCAACGAAGTCGACCTCGGGGTTTCCCGATCTCTGGCAATAGCGTGCGGATGGTGGAGTTTTTCAGAAACTGGAATGCGCTGGCAGGGACTTCATCATCCGGGATTTTTCACATAGAGGCCTATAAACTCGCACAACGATTCATAGACCACCATAGAGACCCATAAACTCGCTCGGAGATTCATAGACCTACAGTGATTTTGTACGTTTGTCCACTGACAAAGAAATGATCAGTCTAAAATTTTAATGGCAGGTTTATTTGAACAGTGAGAGACAGAATACCAACAAAACAATCGAGAAAAACGCATGTCAAAAATGTTATAAATTGATTGGCATTTTAATGAGGGAAATAAGTATTTGACCCCCTCTCAATCAGAAAGATTTCTGGCTCCGAGGTGTCTTTTATACAGGTAACGAACTGAGATAAGGAGCACACTCTTAAAGGGAGTGCTCTTAATCTCAGCTTATTACCTGTATAAAAGGCATCTGTCCACAAAAGCAATCAATCAATCAGATTCCAAACTCTCCACCATGGCCAAGACCAAAGAGCTCTCCAAGGATGTCAGGGACAAGATTGTAGACCTACACAAGGCTGGAATGGGCTACAAGACCATTGCCAAGCAGCTTGGTGAGAAGGTGACAACAGTTGGTGCGATTATTCGCAAATGGAAGAAATACAAAAGAACTGTCAATCTCCCTTGGCCTGGGGCTCCATGCAAGATCTCACCTCGTGGAGTTGCAATGATCATGAGAACGGTGAGGAATCAGCCCAGAACTACACGGAAGGATCTTGTCAATGATCTCAAGGCATCTGGGACCATAGTCACCAAGAAAACAATTGGTAACACACTACGCCGTGAAGGAATGAAATCCTGCAGCGCCTGAAAGGTCCCCTGCTCAAGAAAGCACATATACATGCCCGTCTGAAGTTTGCCAATGAACATCTGAATGATTCAGAGGACAACTGGGTGAAAGTGTTGTGGTCAGATGAGACCAAAATGGAGCTCTTTGGCATCAACTCAACTCGACGTGTTTGGAGGAGGAGGAATGCTGCCTATGACCCCAAGAACACCATCCCCACCGTCAAACATGGAGGTGGAAACATTATGCTTTGGGGGTGTTTTTTCTGCTAAGGGGACAGGATAACTTCACCGCATCAAAGGGACGATGGACGGGGCCATATGTCGTCAAATCCTGGGTGAGAACCTCCTTCCCTCAGCCAGGGCATGGAAAATGGGTCGTGGATGGGTATTCCGGCACGACAATGACCCAAAACACACGGCCAATGCAACAAAGGAGTGGTTCAGGAAGAAGCACATTAAGGTCCTGGAGTGGCCTAGCCAGTCTCTAGACCTTAATCCCATAGGAAATCTGTGGAGGGAGCTGAAGGTTCGAGTTGCCAAACGTCAGCTTCTAAACCTTAATGACTTGGAGAAGATCTGCAAAGAGGAGTGGGCCAAAATCCCTCCTGAGATGTGTGTAAACCTGGTGGCCAACTACAAGAAACGTCTGACCTCTGTGATTGCCAACAAGGGTTTTGCCACCAAGTACTAAGTCATGTTTTGCAGAGGGGTCAAATACTTATTTCCCTCATTAAAATGCAAATCAATTTGTAACATTTCTGACATGCGTTTTTCTGGATTTTTGTTGTTATTCTGTCTCTCACTGTTCAAATAAACCTACCATTAAAATGATAGACCGATCATTTCTTTGTCAGTGGGCAAACGTACAAAATCAGCAGGAGATTAATTACTTTTTTCCCTCACTGTACATAGAGGCTCCAAAAATGTCGTGTACAGTAGAGATTGGTTAGACTCGAACGGTCCCACAGACTCCACATAGAGACCCAAAATTGAAACCGGGACATTCCGGCAGTAGCTTCATCGTTTGCCAATAACACCAGTAGACGAGCTTACGCATTGTTGGTATCATCATCATCATCATCACCACCACGACCACCACATATCGGGTATGGGTGTTAATGACCAATGAGCACACCTACACGACGCATCATCACCCGAAACCGGAAAACCCGAGGCGGACTTTATCGCCTGCCCAACACAGAGCCACAACCACCACCGTCAGCTCCTACTCACTTCAGGGAACCACTCGCAACAAAACGATCTATGCCATGCTAAGTGCTGCTTGCATATAAGAGTAGTTACAGGTTGTGAACGTTGCCAGCTCTTTCTTTTGCCTTGAGCGTCACACTCTGGCAACAATAACTGCACGTTTTTGAAATGATGAGTGGTTGTAATACATTATTATGTGTCATTTGGATGTAAGTACCCTTCAAAATATGTAGATGCAAACTTTGGTCGAACTAGGTTTGAGAATAAAATGTAAAAAAAATGTTCCCCCACCCTCTAACAATTTTGGAGTGCCCACAATTGCAAGTTTTGGCCTTTTTTTATTGATCTGATTGTTAGAGGCAGTGTTTGCAGCAGTGAGCATTGGTGACTATCTTGTACTGATGGGGA